GCCGAGGGCCTGGGGGCTGACCGGGGTGAGCGGCCTGCTCAGATGAACGGTCAGATGAACCGTTCGAATTGCAAAGAAATATTTTTCCAGCATAGACAAAACTATTGTTTTTAGTCAGAGTCTTTGAAATAGCTGTAAAATGGTTTGTAAGTGGAAGGACAAAACTTGAGCTCTAAATACATTAATCACTTTTTCCAGAGCTGTTTAAAGCCCAGGAGAAAATGCTCTCCAAATTTCCTTTACATTGTAAACATCATGTTGTCTTAATTTCACTGTTATAACAAACTGTTTTACAGCTATATTTCACTGAAGACAGATGAAGGCTTGTAAGTGATAGACACATACCCTTTCTGTTTACTGTTTAGTGCTTTATTGACTTGGAACATAGTTGTCTGTTTGGGCCCCGTCTTTACTAACCTGTTTAGTCCCGGTCAATGACAAAAAACACGTGAGCCCTGCTGAAGGATCAGATATATTAGTACTTGAAAAGCACCCTACGTTGTTTGGGGCGGATGCAGCGCGGGCGCCGACGAAGCGCTCCCGCCAGCTCGCCGGGGTCTGTCCCCGCCGTGGTCCGTGCAGCTCCTCAGCCCCCTGCCGTTGCCTGTGCCTCTGCCCTAGCACACCGACCCCGCTGCGCGCCCGGGACTTATCCGGGACCCCCGGGGAAATGCATGCTCTGTGCAGCAGGGATTTCGCTCAGGCGTATTTTCAATAGATAGCTCAGATTCCTGATCCTGTTGAATCATCTCTTCTATACTCAACCTTATGTTTAGTTGCCTATAAAAATAAGCTGTCCCCCCCACCCCAGCTCTTTACATCTCCGTGGTATCGAGTTGGGTAGAGTTGTTTTAATTAACCTTGCTCCAAAGGTTGCCTCCAAAAAAAAATTGAAAAGTGTCTGAAGGCTGAAGGGAAATATCTGCACCGCATTTTGGAAATGCTGGTGCTGGTATTTCGTTACAGCATGAGATTTTTTTTTTTTTTTTTACCTCCAGAAGATATTTTGCTATAACGGACAAAGAAATAGAGAGTGTGACAGAACATGTGAATGGAAATACAAGAATTCACTGTGGTTCCTAAAAGCAGAAAGAGGATAAAGATACATGTGATAATTTCTGCAGTTGTACAGCGTTATTGCCAGTCGTTTCTAGCCTCTGCAGAGCAGCTTTATTTCCAGTGTACTTTGTAAAGAGTAACTAACACGGGTAGCTCGTCTTCCCTTGTCCTCCCCCTCCCGTCTTATACATTGCAGTTGCTCCATGTTAAAGGTAGTTTCTGGGTCCAGCTTTTGCTGTTGTATTTTGGTTGCTCTGGGACAAGTGAGCCGGTCGATCACAGTTACACGGTCACAAGGTCAACCCAGTAGGGTTTTTTTTTCCGTTGTAAGCAATGGATTTACAGGAGGAATGGATGGATATTTTTTAATACTGTGCTGCAGTACACATTTAATTTTGATGAATGAGCCCTGAACAGGGTATGAACCTATGAACTCTCATTATGAATCTGTTGAGGGCACAGTGGTTTCATTAGTCACTCCAATAGAAATGTATCAACAAATTTAGTGAGTTTTCTATCTTAATATCCTGTCTGATATTTTTCCTTGAAAGAAGCTTGGGTTTTAAATACCATCCTAAAAATAGTTTTTAACATATGCAGTGATAGTGAAGTCTAAAACCCAATTTGGATTAGTTTTTCTGTAATGTCTCGTCCCTGTTCTTATCTTTTAACTATTTAGTTAATTTTCTCCCCATTGCAATTCAAGTGTTGCACAACTGAAGCCTTACGGTTACGTAATTCCAGAAAAATAAGCGCAGACTTCCACCATGCATTTCTTCACACTTTCAAAAATTGTTTGTAAACTGCCTTTTCTCGAGTGTGGACTTCATAAGTGACTAATTGCCTCAAAAGACACTTTCCCTATCAGAAAAATGAGTCTAAATGAGTCAAGACAGCAGCTAAATTTAAGGCAGATAGGCGAGTGTTTTCTTGTTGGATAGAGCTCTGTGAATAATGACAAAGATATGTGAATTATAATTACGCTATTTAAATGCATCTATTGCAGCCATATGGCCTCACTCAAGGGATGGGTTAACCGGCAAATGTGTTTTCAAAGCCAATAAACAGACTTAGCAGACACCAGGTTTCAGTCTTGAAAGCAGAGGTCTCCTCTGTGCGCATGATTCATCCAGCGAGGGGACCTTAACATGAGTCACCAGATCCAACCTACACAACATGCCCTGTTGGAATATGCTCACGAAGGGCAGTTAAAGAACCAGTCCAATACGTGTGATGAAAACATGATAGGCTCTTGATCCTGCTCAAGCGTAATTGCTGGAAACCGTGATTGCTGTTAGATATTTATACGGCGTCCCCAGGTGATGTTGGGAAGAAGGGAAAGGAAGGGGAACGCTGGAGGAAGTCGTTCTGAGGCGCTTCTTG